AATTAGAATGGCTACAAAATAATAGCTGTGATTAGGCCATTTTTCTCTCTGTTACCCAAAGTGATTTTGATAATCATTACCCATCCAATAATTTGGTATCCTTTTTTTAAAGATGCATCCTTTGATTTTCCCAAAGATTATAGTCTCTCAGCTTACTTCCAAGGGGCGAATGGTTTTCACAGACAGATCTTAAACGGTACAGCTGTAGTTGTATCTTCTCCCATCATTAAGACAACCAGAAATCCTGCAGCTTCTGCCCAAATGGCTGAACTTTTAGCCTAGGACATGGCTCTACAACTCTTCACCATGGGGGCACTATACATCTATACTGATAGTATGTTGCTCATATTATCCAACCCTTGGAGACGGCTGCCTATGTCAGCCCTGTCTCCAGGGTACAAGACAGTTTGTTACAGATACAGGGTCTGCTATGGCAATGGAGAGAATCTGTATTTGTGGGACATCTTAGGGTCCATACCCCTTTGCCAGGACCCCTCAGCAAAGGAATTTGTAGGACCGACAAGTATACTCAAATCATTACAGTTTCACAAGAGCTCATTAGAGCACAATCCTTACACAGGCACTTTCATTTCAGCACAGGATCCTTATGCTTTCATACTGGGATAACCAAAGAATAAGTTGTTCAAATAGCTAAGAATTGCCCTCTTTGTGTAGAATTTCTTCCTGTGCCTCACTTGGGAGTTAATCCCAAGGACTTTTGCCCAATCACATGTGGCAGATGGATGTAACACATGTGCCATCCTTTGGTAAATGACAACTTGTCCATGTTTCCATAGAGACTTTTTCCCCATCTGATATTCGCTTCTGCCCTTTCTGGTAAAAAGGTGAAAGATGTTATGAACCACTGTCTACAGGCGTTTGCTTACATGAGGATCCTGAAACAAATTAAGATGGATAATGGCTCTGCCTATGTCAGCAGAAGTTTCAATCATTTTTGTAAAGACTTTGAAATTACCAAAGACTGGTGTTCCTTACAACCTCCAAGAGCAGGCTATTGTGGAACTCCCTCATCACACTTTGAAAGCCTATTTAGCTAAAATAAAGAAGAGGGATCTTAGCCGGGCATTGGTGGCACAGGCCTTTAATCCCAGCACTCGGGAGGCAGAGGCAGGCGGATCTCTGTGAGTTCGAGGCCAGCCTGGTCTCCAGAGCAAGTGCCAGGACAGGCTCCAAAGCTACACAGAGAAACCCTGTCTCAAAAAAAAAAAAAAAAAAAAAAAAAAAAGAAGAGGGACCTTGAGGGTCACCTTGGCTCCCCTCACTCTACTCTATCACTTATTCTCTATATCTTAAAATTTTAAATTGTGGATGCTTCTAGTAACTCTTCTGCAGACCATCATTGGCAGTCCTCTACACAGCAAAAACCTCTGGTTAATGGAAAGACCTTCCCTCGGGCCTTTGGAAAGGGCCGGATCTGGTTCTGGTGTGGGCCCGAGGGTCTGTCTGTGTCTTTCCACAGGATAGTGAGTCCCCAATTTGGGTTCCAGAGCATTGTGTGCACCCTGTTCCTGCTGATAGGCATCAGCCATCAAAAGGCTTTTGTGAGGAACCTGCCTGTCATGATGCCAACAAGTCGTCAGAGTCAGGTGTGGCTGGGTATGGGGTGGCCGGTTATGGTCAGCTCCAACATTAGCCTTGGAAAGGCAGCCATCAGAAAGGATTTAGAAGAAGCAAATTTCTTCTGTTGTTGACCTTAAGATCACCCCCTCAACTTGGCCCAAGATGTTGGCCAGGTCTGCTTAATTAATCCTTTTTAAGCTGTAGTCATGCCAACTTTTTCGGGTATGTTCCTTCAGGGGCCTTATGCCTGCTTAGACGCAGTCTCTTTGGTTGCCCGAGAGATAATTTAAAATTTGCAGTGTGTGTTTTTCCACCCTTTTCTTCCCTCGGGAGAAGTGCTTAATTGTTCCCTCCAGGAATGGCGCTTGAAAAGCTGTTGGAGTGGTGAAATATAAGCCTTGGTGGTTTATGTTCCTGGTATCATGCCTATACCAGTGGAATACTCGGGAGAGAACCAGCTCATCCTTACATGACACAAGAGAGATTTTGACATCATGGCAGCCATTGTAGCCAGTATTGCAGCTGCCGCCACAGCAGCTATAGTTTCTGGCATCACTATCTCTCAGTCAGTTGCCTCTGCAGGCACACTAGATAAGCTCTCAGGGGAGGTTGCCTCTGCCTTAAGTTCCCAAAATAATATCAATTCTCTAGTACAATTGAACACTTTAAATCTTATTCAGCAAACTTCTCTCTTAATTTCACTAATTACACAGCTCAATTAGCTACTCAAATTATTAAGATTAATGAGACCAGGGTGCCTCCCCTTTCAGGAGACTCCCTCTTAAAGGGACTGCAGGTCGATTAATTAAGGAATGGAGTGGGCCGCTGGTCCTCAGGATTTTAGCCCTGGGCAGTGCCGCTTTAGCCTTAGTCTGCCTTTGCCGAATAGGAAGGCAGCAAACACAGCACCATTTTTAAACAAAGCAAACCATGCTTTCCTTGGCAGCAGATAACCCCTCAGTGCAGGTCTGGCTGAGCCTGCAGGATAAGTGAGCAATCAATGATGGGTAAGACTCGGGGAATGTCTGTTAACCTAAGACAGATGCTCATTTATACATACATACATACATACATATATGGAACCTGTTGGGCCCTTCCCCCATAGGGATCTACTGACCAGCTTGTGACTAGGAGCTTTTCTAGCAAGTACATCTTATTTCCCTCCCTCCAAGAAGGCCTGAACACAACAAGTTCCTGTTATCTGCCCATCCATGATTGCCAGATGGGCCTGGGATTGTGAACTTCTAACCTGGATAGTTTTCCACTGTGCCTGCTGACTAGTATATAAAGCTCCCCTCTTGTTGCAATAAATGGCATTCTCCCTGCATGAATGACCTGCTGTCTTGTCTTTATTTAAATCCTCAAGCCCCTCGCCCGAATCCATGAGAAGTGCTGGCACTACATCTGACCTCTGTTTGTCAGTAAAACCTAGCTTTTCCCATGACTCTCCCTTCCTCAGGTGGAGGCTCCTCATTCACAAACATCCACAATTCCTCACCATACTAGACAATGTGTTGAACCCCTACATCAAAAGGCTGCTGCTGGCCCTAGTCAAGAAATTTTCCACTCATGTAACAAGCCCATCTTTGAGCCACAACTCCAGCAAATGCTTTCCCTGCTGATGCTGCCTGCTAAGCCTCCCAGCAAATCATAATGTTGCCAACAGTCATTTTTTTATATATTGTACAATCTGGCACAATGGTAGGGGACACTCTGACAATCCAAGTTCCCTAGTGTGTTTCTCACTTCACTCATTTTTGTTTAACTCCATTTATTTATTGTGTATGTGTGTATGTATGCACACATATGCCATGGCACACATGTAGAAAACAAAGGACAGCTTGCAAGAGTCAGTTCTCTTCTCTCTTCTTATATTGACTCCAGGAATTAACCTGAATTATCAGGCTTGGCAGCAAAAAACATTATCCCCTTGACATTCCCCATGACCACCACCTTTTGAAACTAGAGCTCATATGTCCCAGTCTGGCCTCAAAGGTGATCCCTAAAGCTTCTGGTCCTCCTGCCTTCGTCTGCACAAGCTGAAATCACAGGCATGCATTACCATGCTCTGTTCATGTCGAGCTAAGGATAGAACCTGTTATGCAAGCTATACAGCACTCTGCCAAGTGAACTACATCCACAGTCTGCTCCTATCACTTCCTGTAAACTGTATCTCCACTCAGTGTCAAGAATGCACTGTCAGAGTGGACACCTGGTTCAGCTACAATCATAGAAAGCCACTCCCACAAACTCAAATTCCCAGCTTGTCCATGCAGGTCAGGCCCTCAACTCCTTCATCACCTTTAACACATGTCACTGGTTCCTATCTCCCCTTCACTAACTTTGGCATGTACATTGAGCCCTAATGTCATTATCACCCTTACCTCTGCCACAATTGCCTAGAAAATCCCCCAAGGCCTAGTAAATGCACTTACTTGGTCTTCCTGTAAGTACAGCCATGTTTACAGACAATGAAAACTAAAAACCACCCAGAGGAGTTGTGGCACCACAAAGTTAAGCCCCACACCTTGGCTTGGTGTCCTTCTTACAATGCCTGGCTAAGGAGTCCCTCCCACCCTCCATCATCTTTGAGTCCTTAACTGCCCACATCTCTTACCTACCATGCCCCAGTAGCAATGACCTCAGCTTTTAACAGCACAGAAAAACCAGGTGTTTTCATAGACCTTCCTAGAAACACAACCTACCCCCACAGTGCCTGTTCCCTCACCCACTCCTCAACCACCCTCCCTGATCACATGAGCCAATTTAATACCTCTCTTATAACCATGGATCTTATTAATTCTGTTTAACCTTTTCTGTTCTAGCTTCACCTGGCTAAGTCCCCATGCAATCTTTTCCGAAGTCCATTTCTAAGTAGCCACTCCTTCAAACTTCAGTTACAGATCTTCCACTGTAAACCCAAGCCATTACAAATCCTCTGCTATGGACCCATCCACCTGAGCTTCCACACCCCGGCATCTGTTTTTGTAGTGGAGACTAGCTTGGTCTGCTCATCTAGAATCTCAATGAGACCAGGGAGCTTGTCTGTCTCTCCCAACATGATCACAGCACTTTACACACTGGGCGAACATAATCACACAAACCTGCTGGCTCAACTGCAATGTTTCTAAGAAAAATAAAAACATAATCAGAGAATGCACACTTGGGTTCATCCTTGTAACTTGTAAGGTTTAAGAGCCACAAAAATTCTAAGGATGGACCTCAATTCTCTGCCCTAGAGGGTACAAGGAAAGATATTTCACAAAATATTGTGGGGAGTTCTTCCAAGGAAAAGGAGTAAGATTTATCATGGGCAAGATCTGAAAGATTAGAGTTAAATACGTGCTGTGGATATTAGAGTTAAATTTGCGGTGTGAACATGGAAGAGGAAGCGGGAAACAAATGCACTGGGAGCTCACCCTTACAGTCGATGGCAGCGATCACTTCAGTCCGCTCCATGGCTTCTAGTAGCTTTCTCACCTCTTCAGCGTTGCCATTTCTGGCGTGATGGAGAAGCTGTTGCTCTGCTTCTGTGTTCATTTCTAGATTAAAAAAAATAATAAAAGTAGGGTTATGATCTAGCAGAAAAATAAGCTAGTAGCTGTTACCTGCTAATGCAGAATGAGGTGGGGGGGAGAACCATTTCATTTGCAGCTCATGCGAGATACAAGAAATTGTTTTTCAGGGTCATGAAAAAAAATAAATTAGAGACAAGAACACAAAGATCCTGGAGTGGTAATAATTGGTTTTTTCCCTTACCTAGCCCCAAACAAAATACGGGAAATCATAACCAAATCTAAAATACTTATGTCAAAATAGCCATCTTCAGAGAAAATATACATTTCAGTCTTACCAGTAAATAAACAAATAAAACACAATTTTCCCACTAGCCAAAAACAACAACAAAAGAAAAATCTAAGCGTGCCTAGTGCTGATGGTATAGGCAGGAATGTGTACCCATGAGAAAAGTCAGAGCATGCTGAGAAGGCCAGGCAAACACCATGACAGACCACTAAGAACTCAATTACGAATTAGGTCTCAGTTCCAGCTCCTGAAATGGAAACAGTCAGTTTCTGAGAAAGACATGAACAAAGGGCAGTCAATCACCAAAACTCCCCATACTAATACAGCTAAAAGCTGATGAAACGCCAATGAGTATCAGACAATACCCAATGCCTAGAGAGGCTAAACTGGAATTATCCTCCCCCACATCAAACGCCTCAGAGACCTGAATATCCTGATCCATTGCCAAATGGCTTGGAATACGCCCCTGTTGCCACTAAAAAGCCCAACTCTAATGACTATCAACCAGTACAAGACCTCCGAGAGGTTAACAAATGGGTTGAAGCCCTTCCCTCCACAGTGCATTGTACACTTCTTAGTGCCTTCCCCAGAAAGGACTGTCTGTACTGTGTTAGATCTCAAGGATGCCTTCCTCAGCCTATCACTGCCACAGCCAGTCAGCCCTTATTCACCTTTAAATGGACAGACCCAGAGAAGGACTCAAGGGAGAGTTGACTTGGATATGACTGTCCCAGGGGTTCAAAAAACCCTCCCACGATCTTTGATGAAGCACTCTGCAAGGACTTGGGTGAGTACCGATAGATCCACCCTAACTTCAGCTTATTATAATATGTGGGTGATCTTCTAATAATGGCTGGCACCTTGAAAAGATGCAAAAA